TTTAGTCCGCCCACCCACCATCCCATTCCCCCCCTCCCATGCGGCGTCCCACGCCCACCCCACACGCTGCCATGTCACGGAACAGAATTTTCAGCAGCTGGTTTGTTTTCAAGGTAAAATGGGTGAGAAATCAAAAATGATAGCCAAGGTCACCAGAAGCCGGACTGCTGAGCTCCCAAATGCTCTAAGTTGACAATGTCAGAAGAGCATTCAGGAATGCGGCGGAGGGTCTGGAGGGCTTCTTCTCCTTAGAAGGACCGACGGTGTGACTTCCTCTTTCTAAAACATCTCTGCATAACTAAATAGCAGGGGCCTTCAATTTCCTGAAAAGAAACATCTGTGGCTTCCGTTTTAGGGTAGGAAAGGCATTCTCCTTGAGTCAGAGAAAAGATTCAAGTTATCTGGAAATCCTTTTTCTTAAGAAAATCTCCAAGGCCAGAGACACCATAATTCAAATTAATGATATATTCAGGGGCCTCCCAACTTTTCAGTATTGAAATTTTTTTTTATCACTTTGACCAAAGGACATATGTACTGCCCTTGGGGCCTGTTCCCCTTTTTTCTACCTTCAGTGAAATCAGAGTCGATGCTAACTTTAATTCACTCATTTATATAACTGACTCAAGACTTTTGCATTAATAATTAATCAGTAGATAATCCACAAGTAATTTCCATGTGGCGGTGAGTATGTGAAAACTTTTCCTCGTACTAAATTTACCTGCCTGTTTATGTTTTCTTCACGGTAGCGCTGACCTTGGCTCTCTTCTCTGGGGGTGAGCTCTGTTCTCACTTGGTGGTAGGGGAGTCTTTCTAAGGCGCATCAGGAACACTGCAGAAGCCAGGCCAGGAGAAACAACTCATTTGCCAACTCCCTCCAGGCAGCGACCATGACTTTGCTTCCCACGTAGCACCTTGCATGCATCAATAACTTTTTTTGACTGAATGAAATAAAATCAGTTGCCTTTGTATTTTTTGCTAATTCAGTGAAAAGCTTTGTTTATCAAAATGAGAGCCGAAGTGAATACCTGGAGAGTGGCTTAACTGAAAAGATTTTTGTAATCATGGTCAGAAGTGAACGGTACTATTATCAGCGCTCGGCGTATCTGACTACAAGGTATTTCACAATTTGAGACACAAATGGGAGCAAGTGTGTGACCCTGATAATATTTACAACATGTCTCTTTCTTTCTGCGGGACCTACACTTTACCTGTTAAACCTGGTTGTAAACAGGATAACTTTTTTTTCTGCTGACATACCCCTTGCTAAATTTATATTCCGTACATGGAATAGGAGTCTGGAGTTTCTGAATGTACTTATTAAGGTACATGAAAAATGGTTAAGAGCATGGAATGGTGGGTTCCAGAAATGGGGAAATGAAGCAGAAAAATCCCTTATTCAGGACATCAGACTGGGAAATAGAGCTAGATGGCATTTGATGGTATTAGTTCATCCCAGTTGCTCTTTACATTAGCTATGAGCCAGTGCAATAAAAACTAGGTTTAACAGGATGCTCAGTCACAACCCAGACCACTGAGTATTAGTTCTAGAACCTTCCAGTATCTGTGGCATTTGGGAAAATGAAAGTTTTGCCTCCTTGATTATCATTTTACAAAGTATGACTAATGCCTCTTTGTAAAATAATAGGTATAAATACCCCAAACTTGGGGCGCCTGCGTGGCTCAGTCAGTTAAACCTGACTCTCAATTTCGGCTCAGGTCATGACGTCAGGATTGTGAGATCGAGCCCTGCATCGGGCTTTGTGCTGGGTGTGGACTCTGCTGTGTGTTCTCTCTCTCCCTCTGCCCCTCCTCCCCTGCTCCTGCTCATGCTCTCTCTAAAAACAAAAACAAAACCTTAAAACCTAAAGATACAATGGTCATAGGTTTGGGGCGCCTGGGTGGCTCAGTCGTTAAGCGTCTGCCTTCGGCTCAGGTCATGGTCTCAGGGTCCTGGGATCGAGCCCCACATCGGGCTCCCTGCTCCGCGGGAAGCCTGCTTCTCCCTCTCCCACTTCCCCTGCTTGTGTTCCTGCTCTCGCTGTCTCTGTCTCTGTCTCTGTCAAATAAATAAATAAATAAAAATCTTTAAAAAAAAACAGTGGTCATAGGTTTTTAATAAAGTGATTCAGTCCCAACTGCATGCAGCCTGAGGACATCAGGGGGAATGCTAGTTTGCAATGCAGCCCCCTCCTGTTGGAGCGCAGCCCGCCAACTTAGCTATGTCCAACAGTGGGGATCCCACAGTGAAAGAGTGCTTCCCTGCAGGGAAGTGGTATACAGCTGGGAAGATGACTCTCAGGAGAGTGTCCGGTGATAGGGAAATGCTTAGGATGTCTTAAGCGGAGCTCCTGTCTGGGTCGTTTGTGTCCTCAGTTTGGGGATAATGGGCAGTGGAATGGGATCCCTGCATCATGGTTACGAGCATTATGGCTCAGCCAGTCCCAGGCTTGCATCCCAGCTCCCCCTGCGAGCTGTGTCCTCAGTGGACTGAGTCGGCCCTTCTCTGCTCCAGTTTCTCCAACTGCCAAATGAGGATAGTGGTGCCCACCTTGACACACCATTGTGAGAATTACACTAAAATGCATGCTGAGCACCTTGCATAGCGTCTGGTACCTATGAACGCTGAGAAAAAAATGAAAATGTACAGAAAATAAGCTGTTGCTTCTGATTACTGTTTTTATTTTGTATACTTTATGACAATTTTCAGAGCTTCAGTAACACAAACGACTACTTTTCTAAAATCGATTGTGTCAAAGGTAAGTACATAGGAAATGACAGTGGCCTGGATGGAGTCAGTGGTATTAGAAAAGAAGCTGACTTGGCACAGATCTTAAGGATCATGTATTTCAACTTGCTTGTTTTTATAGACGAGGGAATGGAGGCCCAGAATGGCGACCTCCACTGGAGGCTGAGAAACCAGACTTCCGCACCAGGCAAGGATGCATGCATAGGACAAAGGCAGGCCTCTCTTACTTTTATGAGTGGGTATGATGTGATGATGTAAACGGAGTCCGTGGAGAAAGGAGGCAGGGCTGTAGAGAATAGTAAGAATCAGAGTGACTTCCAAGGATCCCAGTAGGGAGACCATCATGGGGAAGTCAGGGAGAGAAGGTGTTCTGATGTGAAGGAGAGCATAAGCTTAATTTTCAATGTTGTCAGCTTGGAGGAACATCTAAGTGGGTTTCACACAGGGGCAGTTTCAGATCTACAAGTAGAGCTGTGTTGTTAGGGAGGGGCCAGGAATAAAGACCAGGGAGAAGAATGCACGGAGTTCAGAGATGCAGCTCTGTTCAACAGGCTTTCCAGTGGAAAAGACCCAAGGGTCCAGACCTGAGCTGAGAGGGTCAGTTAAAATTAAAAAGGGAAGAAGGAAATGCCGCTGAGGAAGGGCAATATTGGGTAAAAGAGCCAATGACTTGGTTTCAAGGTGGGCGCAACCATCATGTCTGAAATTCACGAAGGAGGCCAGGCAACATAGTTGGAAAAAGAAACCACGTGTCCTTTAGTTTTGACTAGGAGGCAGCCACCAGCAAATAAAAAGCAGTTTCTGAGGCAGGAAATAAAGCAGCCTGAATCCCTTATTCAAGAAATTAGGCTGGGAAATGAAGTAGGAAGGTATTTGATGATAGTTGGGAGAGATGGCAGAACAAAGTAATGGCTTATTCAAGATAAAGGACTCTATGAATATTTGAAAGCAGAAGGGAAGAGATGAAGGAGGAGAGATTGAAGCTTTGGGAAAGTAGAGGATAAATCCCAAATAAGAGTTCTCAGGAGGCAAAAAAGCAAGAGATCAAGGCAAAGTTGGACTCACTAGCATTAAATCCTCAAGACATCTCTCCCTCTTGATATGTTGAACGTTTTGAGTTTGAAGTTATGTTGGAGCTTTCGGAAGGCTTAGGACTTGAAAGTTCCACTTACTTTTCTTTTTATAAAAGAAACAACGGGAAACTGAGGTTTGGAGCCCTTTTCTTCTGGTGCAGTGTGGTTTGACTATCCCCCACACGCTTAGCGCAGCCCACTTTAAGTCATTACCTGTGTCATTATTTGCTTAGAGCCTTTCTTCTTTGATGGATCTAAATAGCACACAGGGAGAGCCCACATGTGTGCTTTTAACCCAGCTCCCAGCAACCTGTGCAGTGCCAAACATAGAAACGGAGTCTAATATTTACTAAACGGGTGAATAAAGGAATGAATTAGTGAGTGGCCTCTCCCACAGAAAGCAAACTAGTATCCAGGGAGATAAGGCAAGATTTGCCTTATTCTCTGGAAGTGAATCAGGCAGTTTAACAGGTGCATTACCTCTTTAAAAACCATGTGGTTAAGGACCTGGGGCTTTTCCTGAAAACATTTCCAGCACCTTAAAAAATAATCACACATCCCAAAGATATCATCAAAACTAATAGAAGAATCTGTCCTTAAATGCAGATAAGAAGCAAATTTAACTGTAGAGTAAGATGGTATGCAACATATTTATATTGACTTAATGGCAATTTGCTTCTACTTTCCTATCTGTGAAATGGGAATAATGGTTAAGTGGTATTGAGCATAATTAAGATTGCAAAGTACTTCTAGCAGAGTCTGATGCCTTTAGGGTTAACTCTGAGTATTATTCCATCATTTACTTCCTCTACAACTTAAGTTTCCAACTTTGTATACTATTTTTATTATAATGCAATTAGATTTCTAAGAGGGCTTACCTTTTATAGCTTTTCTATCTAAAAACCTTACTACTCACCCAAAGCTGATAAGCTTCAAGATTCAGGAGGCAGTATTACGTCAAGTGTGGTCCATAAATATCTGCAGGCTGACTAAATAATGTTTTAATATTAAAAGTGGCCTCATTTCACCCTCATGAAAAATCTCAGGCTCAGGAAGGCTAAACTACTTGCCCAGCCTCACCCAGCATTGGCAACTCAAACCCAAGCTTTCTGATACCTGCCTCTAGTCATTTTGCATATCTGCAGCTGATTCTAGCTCTGATTTTTTTCTTTTTCCATCAGGAAATGATGATCAGAAGCTCTCCACAGAATGGTTTCTCATCGTGCTTATGGCAACCATCTGCTTCATCGTGTTAATTTTCACCCTCATCTGTAAAATGTAGGTATTTTTTTTTTATTTCAAGGTTTCCAATGAGGTCTGAGTATTGAATTTTTACACTTTTGCCATGCATCCACTAGGGTGCTTGTTATTAGATGGAATTTACAGTGCTTTGGTGTCTTCTGTACAGCCTTTCCAAGATGAGTATGGGCCAAATTAAAAAGTGAGAAACATCCTTACGTGATTTATGGAAACCAGACAGAGTACAACACTGCCCCTCAGCCATTACACACCCTTCCTGAATTTGACAATGTATTCATTTCTGTGAAGCCTTTTACTTTCATGTTCTTTTTACTCCTTTACTGCCTTCCCACTCAGTATTTGGTGTTCTTAGTTGAGCCACTAGCAGACTCCTTCTATAGCTTGGGTAAAGGAAGGCAGCCCCCTAGAGATTGAAATCACCCCAATGCCTCCCATGGTATGATCTCCAATTAGGAGGTGCCAACTCCTACCCATACTCTTCGTTCACCCAGTCCCTGAGTGACTGATTGCCCTTTGGTCAAACACAGATTGTAGAAAGGTGATGCAGATCTGGTGACCAATCCCCAAGGCTGCAAATGGCTCCATAAGAACTCCTCATCTACTTTGGCATTCAGTAAGGCAAAGTGCCATTTAGGAGGCTTAAGAACATGTTCTGTCTCAGTCCTTTCATAATTTAGAAAATTACTTAGGTTTTAAAGAGCTTCATTATTATAAATGTTATATTCTGTGGGTTGGAGGGTGGCAGTTCAAAGGAGAGGAAAACAAAGCAAACTCTGAGCCAGCACGGATGGGTTAGGGGCTGGTTCCAGCACTGTAGTTAGTGGTGGGGCACAAGGGCTTACACATCACCCATGTTCAGAAATTAGGCCTGAAAACATGGACCAACATGAAGCAATCACTGTCATATCTTTCTTGGATGATCCAGAAGCCACATCATAGCCCAGGTAATATTATAATACAGATTTTTTAACTCTTGGTCAATAAAGGTTTTGAATTTATAGAACAGCAAGTTCTGAGATTAACTAGGTCAATTTGTAGAGTAGATACTGAAAGACAAGAAAGGATGCTTTTGCTCACCTAATTTTCTGTTTTACTGTTTTCAGAGGTCACTTATGGACCAGGCTGTTTCCACCGGTTCCAGCACCAAAAAATAGTATTAAAGATTTCTTTCTAATCGTCAGACCTGAGGTAATGTTGAAGGTTCTTATGATGGGTCCTATCTGCCCAGGGTTGGGTCTCTAGGGACTGGTCATCAGGTTACTGGTTTTCCATATTCCAAGGCAGAGTGTCTACCCTTGCGGGGGGGCGGGAAGACAGCGACTTTGTCACTTTAGTCATTCTGCTCTTTGGATCAATGTTATGTTACATATGTTCATTACTGTCTTGGAGTATTGGAAAGGTCCTGCTCAGTTATAAGTGTCCTCACCAGTCAGACTGGAATTTTTTCTATCAGCCGTCTCTTAACTGAGCTTGGGCAACTCCTTCAATCCCATGAGCCCTGACTTCTTTTTCTATATAGTCAAGGGGCATAGATGAGATGGTCCAATGTCCTGTTTAGCTCTGATGTTTTAAGAACCCGTGTTTCTGCACATGGATACCCTAATCAATAACATTTTTCAGAGGAACTTTTCCTAGGTCCTTAGTATAAAGAACCATAGAGAAGGCAAATGACTTCCCCAAATATGTATTTCCTTAGGCCCTATTTGCCATTCAGAGCACTTAGGCTTAACTGAATGCTCACTTACACATGGCTGCCCAATTGTTCTGGCATCAGTTTGTGAAAAAAAAATCATCCTTTCCCCAGTGAATTGTCTTGGCATCTTTGTGGAAAATCAGTTATCTATATATGTGGGTCTACTTCTGGACTATTTACTTTCATTGATCTGTTTGCCTATCATTATGCCAATGTGATCTTGATTACTATCACTTTATTGTGAACCTGGGGATCAGGTTAGTGTAAGCCTTCCAAACAGGATTTTTTTATAAAAGATTTATTTATTTAAGGGGCACCTGGGTGGCTCAGTTGGTTAAGCATCTGCCTTTGGTTCAGGTCATGATCCCAGGGTCCTGGGATCAAGCCCCATATTGGGCTCCCTGCTCAGTGGGGAGCCTGCTTCTCCCTCTCCCTTTCCTTCTGTCTGCTGCTCTGCCTGCTTGTGCTCTATCAAATAAAATCTTAAAAAAAAATAAAGATTTACCTGAGAAAGAGAGAGAGAGCACATGAGCGGGAGGGGGAGAGAGAGAATCTCAAGCGGACTCCATGCTGTGCGCAGAGCCCTACTCGGGGCTCAATGCCAGGACTCTGAGATCAGGACCTGAGCTGAAACCAAGAGTTGGAAGCTCAACCGACTGAGTCACCCAGGTGCCCCCAAACATGATTTTTTCCCCAAAGTTTTGGTTATTCTAGGTGTTTTGTTTTGCATTCCCATATAAATTTTAGAGCAACTTTATTAATTTCTACCAAAAAAGCTGCTGGGATCTTGATTAGGATTGTGTTGTATTGTAATGTGGGGAGAAGTGACATCTTAAAAATGAGTCTCCCAATCTGTAAACATGACATAGCATCGTACTCCACAAACAAAATATCATCGACCTATTTAGGTTTTAATTTCTCTCAGCAATGTTTTGTGATTTTCAGTGTATAATTATACACTTTGTCAAATCCGTCCTTAAATTAAGTGGTTATTTAGATTAGGGATCAGCAAATTTTCTCTATAAAGAGCCAGATAGTAAATACCTAACAGCCAATGGTTTCTCTCAACTATTCAATGCTGCCATCCTGGTGTGAAAGCAGCCATAGACAGTATGCAAATGAACAAGATTGGCTCTGGCCAACAAAACTTTATTTACAAAAACAGGCAATAAGCCAGATTCTACCCACAGGGTGTAGTTTGCAGATCCCTCATGTAGATCAAGCTATTTTCTTAACAAATTTAGTTCTCTAATGAAGTGTTTCATGAATGGATGAATAAACTGGTGATTGTTTGTAGGGCAGTTAAGGGTCACTCACTGAAATGGATCATTTCAATAAGCTGTGACCTTTAGAGTTCTTGATTTAGGTGTTTGGAATAATTATAGACCATAGTAGTTGTGAACTTAATCAGGCAAAGAATGGAGTCAGACAGAAGAACCACTCTGTCCTTACCTCCATCCCGAGTTCCCCTTTATCAGGGAACAGGGGCTTTGCTTTTGTTAACCCATAGCTTTTCTGGAAGAAGAGTGGACTCCAGTGTGAAACCTTGTTTTGGTTTCATCTGAATTTGTGCTGTCGATCCCCCCCTTGCTCCGGCATACTCATCCCCGAAAAACTACATTTGATTTTAGCAGCCCACTGAAGTCATTTGTCTTGCCTCTTAGTGGAACATCTTAATGCTGGTATCTAATTTCCCTATAGAGCCCCCAAAGATTTTCTTTAATATTCTGAAGTTGGTGAAAGAAACTGGCTTAAAAGCTTATTATATAAGCTCGTGGTTTGTTGTTAATTAAAATCAAGTCATGTGTGCAAAATAACAACTTGGGGGAGACAGGCTGGTTTCAAAATAAGCAAAGGATTAATGTCAGAGCTCAGCACTGCTAGGCTCCTCTTAGACAAGTTACTTTCTTCTCACATTGTTGAGTTTCATGTAAAAAAAGACAAGAGAGAGACCGACAGAGATAGCAAGTAAACTCAGAAAATGAAGTATTGCCCCATAATGCTGTCAGCCCTATGGCCTCAATTCTCCACCTGGGAGAATATGCAAGCAAGGGCAGAGCTGACCACAGCCTGGGCCCCATGTAGCAGTGCCCCAGCCTGTAGCTCTGAAGGCAAAGCCCTTCGGACTCAGTCTTGGGGCCTCTGCTGCAAGGATGACGGAGGGGACCAATTAGTGCTATTGGCAATGATGGTTTTGGTTTTGCATCCCACTAGGAAGCCTTTAGTGAGAGGGAAAGGAAACTTTTCTGCTTTCAATTACAACCGGCGTCTCTGAGCTTGGTGTGGGTACCCAGAGTCCTGGGATTTGGAGGATATCTGACACCCCTGAGCTCTCATTATGCAAGTTTTTGCTTTTCCAGACCCAGGTTAGAAATTGTTTTGTAACATTCAAGAGATAGGTACTGGCAGGGAGAGGGGGGGGGGGGGGATGGAGGGGCGGAAGTTGACATTTATCAATTACAAAGAAGGTGTCTTTTTGTTTAAAAAAATGTATCCTGTGTTTTAGATTTGTTAGAAACCAGTTTCCAGCTGTTCCTTATTTCTACAATGGTAGCCAGAGAGGGTTCCTTCCAAAATGAAATATAAACCATTTAAATTCTAGTACCTAAGGCAGAGAGCACATCTGCTCTGTCACTGCATACTCAATGCACGGCAGTGTCTAAAGTACAGTAGGTATTATAGGTATTAAAAAATGTGTTAAATGAGGGGCGCCTGGGTGGTTCTGTCAGTTAAGCATCTGCCTTTGGCTCAGGTCATGATCTTGGGGCCTGGGATTGACCCTATGTTGGGCTCCCTGCTCAGCTCCCTTCTCCCTCTGCCCCCCCACCCCATGTGTGCACGCATGCGCATGCACGCTCTCTTGAATAAATAAAATCTTTTTAAAAATGTTGAATGAGTAAACAAGGTAGAAAAATAGTTCTTGTAGGGGATTTCTGTCACAAAGTTTCTAATTAATAGCATTGTATTAGCCAAAATTAGACAAACACATATCTAAATTTAAGGGGAAACTACAATAAACTATGAATGAAAAATGGTGGAGATATTCAATGATGCAGCCCAAGAGTATATATTTTAAAATATTACATGTTACACAGAAAGCAATGAAGCTGGCTATCCATTTGCCTTCATTTAACTGTAAAGGTAACTTTGTACCTAGAAAACAAGGCTGGAGGGAAACAACGGGCTGTGTTTGGGAGATAGGTTGATGGATAGATTTTCGTTTTCTTCCCATTTTCCCTATTTTCTTAGTGAACATTTACTATTTTTATAAGCAAAATACACTTAAAAAACAATTGTAAAGAAATTCAAGAGAACAAAAAGTGTACTAAAAGACATTTAAGGGAGCTTGTTTTGTTTTACAGAAAACCGTTTCCAACGAAACAGAAATTGAAGTCATAAGTTATGTGGAAGAGCCTGGACTTGAGACCCTAGAAGATTCCGTGTTTTGATTGGCACTGTAACATTCTCAAAAATGAACTCACTCACATGCTTCAGTGATAAGAACGGGAACTGTTGTTTCTTGGCTAAGAAGAGTTCTGAATTTACTAAACACTCAGTTTAGCTGCAAGGCAATACAGCCAGACAAATCTCTTAAAAGCGTGGATGCTTCTTCAAAAACTCCTTGCTCACTCAGGGCGATTGATCAATCTGACCATTCTGCCATGTCTTTTCTTCCCACTCCGCAGGGTACCAACTCCTCACCTGCCAATCTTTGTGATTTACATTACTTGCCTGAAACTTGGTGCAAGCGACAGTTTTTAAGGCTGATGTCAACTGGCAGAGCCCGTTTTATAGCTGAAGCTGCCAATGGTAATACTCAGCTGAAATATCATCAAGAAAGCATTTTGCAGCAGCCTGGAGTTCATTATGAACGTAGATTCGAGGCTGTCTTTCTTAGAACAAGTGGGAGCCATGGTGCTTCCCCCACCCCCGCCCCCCGCCCCCGAGTTCTAGAATACCTTTTCTTTCAAGTAGTGTCTGGGGGGTGGGCGGGCTATCTATGATTTAGGAAGCACAACTTGAGGCAAACTCATTACAAATGTGAAGAGCTAATATATCACTCCATACCAAAGCAGAGAATAAGATTCTATATTTGAGATTATATTCTTGAAGGCAGCCTTGATATTTGGGAATATACTGAGAAAGGCATTAGGTAGAATTGGGTTGGGAAGGGGATTGCTCAATCAACAATGAACTTTCTGGAGAGATGTTGGCTTGCGCATAGTTTGGAGCAACTTGTCGGGTGCTGGTCAAGTAGCTCTGGGTCAATCCTACAAGCATCCCATCAAACATCCCAATCTAGACATCCTCTCTACATCTCCTGTATGAGTCTGCATCTAGATTGGAGGCCTTTGTGATGGGCGATGGGCTATAGGTAGAACCAAGTACATACAGGTGCGTCTAGGGGAGAGAGGAGGTAGGAGGAACAGTTAGAACTCGGAAGGACCCCAACAGTGCTGATGGTACCTGGGCCTGAAGTAGGAAGCTTAGGACAGGGAAAGGAGGTCACAGTGTTCCAAACCCCCTGTATGGCAGCACACAGTTTCCAAGTATTATGGACTGAATGTTTGTGCCCATCCCCCTCCAATTCATGTTGAAACTCTATACCCCAATGTGATGGTATTAGGAGGTGGGGGTCTTTGAGCAGTGATTATATCATTGAGGGTGGAGCCCTCATGAAGGGAATTAGTGCTCTTTAAAAGGGACCCCGGGGGGAGGGGTTCTTTCCCGTATGTAAAGATATGAGAAGTTGGCGTTCTGCAACGAGTATGAGGGCTCTCCCAAGAACCCTGCCATGCTGACACCTTAAACTGGGAACACCAGACTCCAGAACTGAGAAATAAATTCCTGTTGTTTATAAGTCACCCAGAGTATGGTTCTTTGTTATAGGAGCCTGAGCTAAGATGCCAAGGGTTGGGAACTATACCAGATACTTCACACACATCATCTCCAATCCTGAGATGCCCACATCATTTGTATCACTGCCCCATTTTACAGGTGCAATCACTGAAGAAAGTGCACAATGAAGGGTTGACTACCAGGCTCAAGTGAGTCCGGTAATGTAGAGAGGACTGCTGGAAAAAAGTTGAAGCTTGCTTAGAGGTGGGACCAGGAGGGCATGGCCCATGGAGGTGCTGCAATCACTGGCAAAATGATTATCTGACTGATACAGAATCTCTGTGAGTGGCGTTCAAGGACCTGTATTTTTAGTGAACATTCTTAGACATTCTGAAACTTGGCAGCACATTAGAATCACCTGGAGGCGTCATTAAAACAGATTGTAGGGCCTCAACATCAGTTTCAGATTGAGTAGGTCTGGGGTGGGGTCTGAGATTCTGCATTTCTAGTAAGTTCCCAGGTGATGCCGATACTTGTTTCCCAGTCACACTTCATGAACAGTAGCCCTGGGTGTTTCTGATGAATACCAAAATTTGAAAACCAACTGTTGAAGGAGTAAGTGATGGAAAAGTCCTGCCCCAAATTGCCGCTTTTTGGGCTTATCGCTCCTTGTCTGATGTCTTTCATAACCAGAACCTGGAAACCTAGGGTTATGGCCACTGCCTCTGCTAGGAGGCTGGAAGAGAAAGAAGCTGCCCCAAGTTTGGCTGCGTCTTCATTGTTGGGTGTGGTGTTCCACATCAGAGATGCCTCCCTCAACCTCAGCGGCCAGCCGTCACCGTGCTGAACCAGTACCACCATCTGGATCTTTGTCTATGTGTTTCAGGAGCAACACAGTGTAGACCATGTGGTCTCGCTAGTGCATTATGACCTTCCTCTTCCTCACTGCTCAGCTCCTACCCATTTTTTGGAAACCCAAATCCCATGTCTCCTCTGTGAAGCCTTCAAAAACAGTTTGGTTGATCCTGCCTCTGGGTTTTCATTCTGGGCTTTGCCCCTCTCCCGGAGCTATTGCATTGTAGGATATACCATTCAGTTTGGATGTCTCCCCAAACTGTGTGCTCCAGGAGGATGGGGCTTATGTGAAATTCATCCTTTTATCTATGGTGTCTAGGACCACTGGACCCTTTAAATCCTCTTTCAACCCTGGCACAGGTCCTTGAATGTAGTTGGAACTGAGGGATATTTGGCAGAGATCACCAAGGCCTATAATAATATCATGGAAAGGAAGACGGGTGTCTAATGAGAACATGATTGGAAATAACCAGGACACACATGTGTGCCTGACCATCTGGCTAGTGTACCCCAGTCCTTTTTTGCTGATGATGTGGCTAAGTGGTGACATATAAACGCTGTATAAAAGGAGTTAGGCTTTGGATGTGGCATGCTTTGAGTGGTCTGTCCAGTTTTCACTAGCCTTGTCATGACAAATCAGAGTGTGAACATTCTCTGAACAGTAAATACCCTCGTCAACAGGTTGATTAGACATTGGCACCCACCTCTTTCCATCTCCCACCAGGATAGGAGGGCCAGCTGTCTCCCAAAGAGCCTTCAGTCGCACGCTCAGAACAAACTGTGCTTCTCTAAGACATCCTTTCCAATGAGGATTTTAGTCCAATGTCTTTCTTTGGCAGTTGGAATTCTCTGAGCGCAGCATAGGGAAAGTGCTGGGGAGCCTGGAGGGGAAGTTCAGTGTGCCAAAAGCACAGCCATCTGAGCCTTATTGAAATGCCTCAAGGCCTCAAGCTATTTATGCAGGCTGGGCAAGAATTCCACTTGGGCAAAGAACATCCTGATTAAAAAATCCAAACGTTTTCATGGTGAGACTTGTATGTGTCAGGACCATCTGTTGGTGGAATTAATAAACCTTAGGTGCTAATTTGTTAAAGAAAAAGTAGGTGTCTAGAAGCAAGAACAGAGAACTGAAAACAATCTTTGGTGGCACAAGGCAAGGTGAAAAACCTAATTAGAACAGGACTTGGTGTTAGCCCAAGGATCTTTGTGACAATGACCGTGTAGCTATTCCTGCCTCCACACCCTGCAAATAAAGTTCCAGGATACAAACTTTTTGAAAGCCATTTTTCAAAGATTATATTGAACCAGAAGACAATCTTATCTTTTTGCCAGTAGCCCTCTGTTTTAGGTAATACATGTGAATGTAAATTCACTTCAGAACAAGAACTGTTTCACACAGATGACGGTGAATTGTCTAAGTCCACAAATTGAACAGGAGTACACTTCTCATTCCCCCCCCCCATATTCTCATTCTTTGTCCCCAACATCATCTTTATCATCTCTCAGCTAGGACCATTACAACTCAACTAAAATCCTGGCCTCCAGTATTTTCTTTCTTGGGAGGACCTACATAAAAGGCACATCTGCCTCCATCACCCCTGTCCAAGGCCCTCAGATAACTCTATCACCTTCAAGTTAAAGCTCCTGTCAATGCTAAGGCCCCTGGGACACAGCTCCTCAGTAGCTCCCGGGCCAGAGTCCCAAGGAGCACCCCTCCAAAACGAACACCACGCTCTCTCAACCCTCCATGCCTCTGCGTAAGCTTTCTCCTGTGGAAAAAGCCTTTTCAATCTTTTTCTTCATCGGTTGACTGTTATCTTCTAAATTTTAGTCCTTTGCCACCAGGAAAACTCTGTATTCCCCAGGTAACTTCTTTTTGATTCTATTTTATCACTTACTGTATTGTTTAAAATTTTTTGGTCTCATTTAAAGTGGAGACATGTTGAGGTCAAGAACAACGTACTTAACCACTGAGTTGGAACTGGCTGAATTTAGCTGGACAATGAAAAACAAAGTGAATTTCTCAAAAGTGTACCAGAAAAAGCTACATATATTCAATTTAGCTCGAAAGAATGAAGCTCTAATAGGTAGACTCATCTATTAAAGCTGTACAGCGACAGCCAGAAATTAGACCATCACCAAAGCTTAAAAATGAAGTAATAAGAACTCACAGTTGGTGTGGCTCTCCTTCCCGAAACGCCTCTCTCTACCTCACCCGCTGCTCATCCCTTGGGTTCCGTGGAGCTCCCGCTGAACTTTGGGAGCCAGTACGACCCATTTGGCTCTTGATAAATGAGTGGCAGGTGAAACAAAATTAGCCCACGTGGCCCGTGCGCGTTATTTTAAAGTTCCGGTGGACCCTCTTCACCATGAAGGTGTGTTACCAGGTTAGTTTCATTCATTAAAACTAAAAGCAAAGCGCTGTCCCTGCCAGGTGAAAAAATGAAAGAAGACGTAAACCTGAGAAGGGGTGTGGGGGAATCGCAGGAAATAAGTCAACAATGAAGTACTGGTGTCATAGTTCAAAAGTCAGCAAGTTTCTTCTTAAAGAGCTAGATAGAAAATATCTTCAGCTGTGAGAGCCATCTGTTCTCCGGGGCAACCGCTCAGTTCTGCCACGATAGCACAAAAGCAGCCACAGACAGTATATAAATGAGAGTGGCTGTGTTCCAATAAATCTTTATGTACAAAAACCAGGCAATGAGCCAGGTTTGGCCTGTGGGCCAATATTTATCTGTACATAGCTTAATGGATC